GCACTGCATCTCAACTACCCTAAATCTATGAAGAACACATTCCAGTTCATCCAACAGGTACTTCTCATGTTGGGCCAAACCCAGGTTGCAAACTCTGAAAAAAACGGCTTACAATGTAAGGAAATGCTAGAAGCTTCCATGAGAAGCCACTTGTGTTTTGCTGTATAAGACATTAAGGCTATGTCCGCACGAAGCCAGAGCTTTCCCTATCCGATCATTTTTTTCCCCTCGTCTCAAGAAATATCTTCGTCCACACGAAACCACAAAATGATGTAGTATACATGCCAGACCAGTATGTGGCGCTGTAATTCTGCCACAGAGATACACTAAAAACAGAGAAGAAGACTTGGACTATGCGCATAAATATTGCGCGCGGTATACAAACGAACATGGAACAATACATTTATTAACCTGTGTTAATGTTACTTATTAAAAAGACAATCGTTCAGTGTTTGTTCATGTTTTTGTTGCTGTTACGTGACGTAGCGGTGTCTGACTAGGGGCGAGACGTGGGCTGATGCCGTCATCGTTTCAGAAAATATACGGATTCGCTGTCCACACGAAAACGCAAGGGCGGCGTTTTCAGATTTATCCACTCTGGGACCCGGTTTCAAAAAATATCGGTTTCACTCTCCCAAAACGACGGATCCATCTCGACGAAACGCCTATACGATACAAAATTTATGCGTATACAGCTAAACGCACCTCCGTGTGGACGGGCCTATATACATTTTTTTAGGGCTCTATGAATTTGGTTTTATTTTACTTTTTTTATGGTAATCAAATGAAGGCATAAAACCTTTAATTACATTTTTTTTTTTTTGTAATCAAATGAATTCGCGCTCATATTCGCGCGATTTTTTGCGCAGCTCGTCGGTGAACAACGGCTGTATGTAGTTAATGCTGCTCAATGTGAAAGCACGCACGTGATGGAGATTTACCGCTGATTACAGAACCGGCTTTCTGACAAGATGCGCATTAAATATCGCATGCGATTTATCGTGCAGCCCTAAAATGAAGGCATAAAACAATAATTAAACATTTTTTGTAATCAAATGAAGGCATAAAACATTAATTACATTTTTCTTGTAATCCAGTGAAAATGAAACCCTTTCAGTTTTTTTTAGCAAAGTGCTGCACAACAGGTGTACTGTTAAAACATGGAAGAGAAATTGTCTGATTATTCCTTAAATAAAATTGTAATATTTTTTTATTAGTAGTAGTAGTATTATAAGACGTACATTCTACTGTACAAAAGTAATATGTTTGTCACAATTTCTTCAAGTTTAACTGGGGTTTTATTTTGACGGGTTGTCGTGAAGAGTTCTGTTTGTGTGTGTGTGTGTATATATATCTTCTAAAATGAAACCGTCAAATGCTCATGAAGTGATGTTCATGTGTTCACGTCCTCATTTAGTGAGACGACAGAGCGTTGTAAAAGAAACCATTCGTTCACACAGAGACACGCTGAACATGCAGGATTCTTATTTAAAAGGCTTTTTGCAGCTCAATATTCACAGACACTAGCCCATATCGTGATCTGATTTAAGTGAACTTACCAACTTTAGATTTATTCACTCAAAATTTGGCAAATTCTGTGACATTCTGCGTTATACAGTAAATTCCATTTTTATGACTGGATTCCATCCACGTTTTCCGCGTTTCGGAATCATAGGGCTCTACATTGAGATTAACCACAAAAAAAACACACTGAATAGGTATTTTTCGTTCACTAAACGCTCTTTTTTTCTCCCTTTGGTTTGTCAGATTCTCATTGCTGTGTTTTGTTCTTTTTTGGCAGGTGATGGTGAACTCTGAGAAAGACCGTGCTTCTCTCTTGTGTATGAAGGCTCTGGCCAACAGGGGGCATCTGGACATGGTGTCTCAGCAGATGGCCTCTCACCCACAGTACCTGGAAAGTTTCCTGCGCACACAGCACTACATCCTCTATATGGATGGCCCATTGCCCCTGCACTACCGCCACTACATTGCCATCATGGTATGAACATGCTCTACAGTCAATCACAGTCTCAAATAATATCTCAGGTTAATTGATAAATGTATTTGTGTTTCAGGCTGCGGCGCGGCATCACTGTAGGTACCTGGTGTCTCTGCACTCGGCTCAGTTTCTGCGGGTTGGCGGAGACCCGTTATGGCTTCAGGGGTTAGAGGCTGCACCCCCGCGTCTACGGCACCTTGATCACATCAACAAGGTCCTGGCCCATCAGCCTTGGCTCACGGCACGCTCGCACATACAGGCTCTGCTCAAGACGGGGGAGCAGTGCTGGTCTCTGGCTGAGCTCGTCCAGGCCGTGGTTCTGCTGGCCCACTGTCACTCCCTCTGCAGTTTCGTTTTCGGTTCTGGTTCTGACTCG